TTTGTTGAAGAAATATTTTCAGAAATGTTATTTGTGTCGAGACATAGATTTTGCAGAGAAAATTATGAAGAGGAGATGCAAATCGTTGAAAATTATGTAAAGAAAATGAAGCAAATTTATTTGTCAGAAATTCAGGCCAATAGAAAGATTTGTTAAGTATGAATTATCCTAAATTTCTTGTTATAATATCAAATAATACTCCCAGCTATTAATACCCAAACATAAGTAAAGTTAGAGCGACTTTCTGACATTAGAGCCGGACGAGAAGAGTCGAAGAAATTAATGATACACAATACTAATTGTATATACGAAGCACATATATAATATCAATGTCAACGCAATAAATTAAACTGACAATAAATCAATCATTAGTACGTTAAGATGAAATTTGTTCATTGAACCCATCATAGTACGTTGCGGATTTGGCTCCCCTCCATTACCCCTTTCCTCCATTTCGTCAAGTGGACCTCTAGATAAGAGACATGTGTCTTATTTAAAGTTTAAATGTCAAGATTATATTATATTAACAAATATCATAACTATATTTAAGTCAATTAATTTTAGAAAACTAATCTCTAAATTTGGTAAAAGGTACAATATATTTCATACAATTAATTTCATCTTATATTTTTATATTTAATTATTAAAATTGTAGAACATGAAACGTTTATATTAATTGTGATAAATAATAATCTTAAAAAATATTTGCATCTAAAACAATGTTTTATTTATTTTCACACAAAAAAAATAAGATAAAAGAATATTTTTAAAAAACGTATATTTTTTTCCTTCAAACGTACAATAGCCACATTTTCTCCTTGGAATAATTTTGGTATCGTTTAATTTTTAAAAACTTTTTGTCTTTTTATTTTTTAGTTTTGTTTCGTGTTCTTTTATTTTATGGGTTTTTTTTTCAACATTGATAATTCTTCACTTTTGTTTTTGGTTTCACAACATAGTATAATATTTCAAGAATAAAGTTTACTAGTACAAAAAATTGTTTAGTTGATTTTCCCCTTAAATATCAAACAATTTAATATTTAAGTATAAAAATATAAGATGAAATTAATGATATTAATAAATATCAAATTTTGAATGGAATATATTATAATTCTTACCAATTTTGGAGAGTAGTTTTCTAAAATTAATTGACTTAACTATGATTATGATATTTGTTAATATGATATAATCTTGACCTTTAAACTTTAAATAAGACACATGTCTTTCATCTAGAGGTGTACTTGACGAAATGGAGGGGAGCCGGATCCGTACGTTGCATGCACAGGCGACAAATTGGTGTACATTATATAGTCAGTTTTAGTTATCCCCCACAAGTCAAGTGGACTTGAGCTGTGTGAAATTTACACCATCCACGGCCAACAACATCACAAAAAAAATGTAGGTATTAATTTGAATATAATAGCGTAAAATGAATATAGACAAATAATATAGTATGTCATGTATGTATAGTATCCCTGTGGAGGAGGCAATTCAAACTCCCCGTTGAACAGGTTATCTTTTAAGTACGTAATAACTAGTTGGCTTGGCCCATTTTCAACACCAATAACAAACAATAAACTGACATCCATAGTGAAAATTAATTTTTATTTGCCGCCCATTGAAATTTAATTACTAATGTTTGTTCATTTATTTTTGTATAAGTAGCAAATAGCAATTACCACCTTATATTAGGAATGTAGGAGTTATTTAAACTTTTCTATTTCTAAAAACATGCAATGCATATATAGTGATGGAATTAATATATACTGTAAGCCAGCTGCATCTAATGTATTATATTAGCTAGGTAAAAATCTCTAATTTGAGATATTTTGTCTTTTTTGATATAATGGAATGGATAAAATAAATAAATTTAGCTAAGGCCTAAGGAATACGTATACTATCCTAATCGTGTATATATATATATATGGAGCTGGTATAAAAAAAAATTCTTCTATGTTATATAAGTTTATTACATAGAAATATGGTATCAGAGCCATGACGATCGAGTATTGATTTATGAATTCAATTGAAGCTACTACTTTCGTCTTAAATTATGCTTACGACGCAAAACAAACAATACGGTAGTAAAATTATGCTCATTCTGAGTAATCCACACTGATGCCAGATCTTAGATTGGTCTCTTCATAAGTTGTTAAAATTACAACCACCACGTAATCATAATAAACATGTTTTTGTTTAAAAAATATTGGCAGGAACATTTTTTTAATAGGGCTATTATCCTAAGGCCTAGACATGGCTGTAAATTAATTAACCGGCCTAATAGAGATTTGAAAATAATTAGTAGCTGTAACAACTCCGATCCAACCATGTCGGAAATAATTTCAAAGCGCTAATCCAGAATGAACTCCAGTTTAATGTCCAGAATCATTGTTTCTTTGCTGTTTAATTAATTTGATTGGCGAATATTCACAGATTTCTACTCATCATGTCAATTAATCACAGTTTTTTCTAGTAATTAATCACATCTAATTGACCATTAACGTCTTACCTGAGACAAATTTCAACTATCGTGGTTAATTATCGCATAATTTTTGCCTTTTCCAATTCACTAAAATAGCTAGCTTGCTCTTGTTTTAGCTGATATTCAAGAATGTAACTTTCATTTTTTCTTTTTTTGGACTGTTTCTGGATGAAAATGTTTCCGTATTAGTTATAATAATCCATGAAATGTGTACCTAACGTTTGTATAAATGGGGGCCATATTTAACGCGTTGTTTAATTTAGTAAATGACAGAGAAAAGAATCGTTGAAAATAATGCATACTAAATTCTTCATAAACTTACGTCAATTTGACATGCAAATTTTGGATATGCTTCAAGACTTGGTTCTTCTCTGGTAACTCCTAAATAATTTTCAAAGAAAAAGTGCACATTGACAGCTGAAGGATCTAATAATTATTTATACAGTTTAATTCTTAACTGGAAATTTAAACCCGACGAAAGCATATCCTTAAATAATACTCCTGAATCCTGATTGTCATTTGGTACTTGCGAAAAGAATAATATTTCCTCCGTCTCATTTTAGGTGGCACTTTTTAAATTTCGAGATTCAAACAAGTTTATCTTTGACCGTAAATTTTTCATAAATCTTTTAAATATTTTGAATTTTCAATTATTGTGACTTATAGTACTTTTTACGTAGTTTACAAATATATAAATTTCATTAAAATTTGAAGATTACATGGGCAAATTCCCGGTCAAATTTAAACAGTTTGACTCTCGAAAAACGAAAAGTGTCACATAAATTAGGACAAATGGAGTAATCTTTCATTCTGCATTTGATTTGAGGTATAAGTTAATGATCTTAAATCAAGTTGTTCTATTATTTATATTAAAATGATAATATAAAATAACCGCTTAAGATATTTTAACTTATGGATCGAATATTTTAGTTTATCCTATCTCGCCAGTCAAAATTACGACTCCTTCCTTATTAGGTGTATGAAGTAGTTGATGCCTATATTTGCATGGGGACTTATAGAGGGCTAGGGTTTAGCCATGTGGCATAGGTGTGGTCCCCACCTTGTTCCTTGTCACTCTACGCTTTCTAATTAATTAGATTAGATATATACTATGCTGTTATGCACACATTATGGAGTACTTAATTACTCGTCCTCCAGCTAATATTCATACATACTTTGATAATTAGGAATAGACATGCATTTTAAGTAATGTTTATCTCTTTCAATTTATTCAAATGTAAATTGACAAAAAATGGAAGGTATATATCACTGCCTAGTTAAATTAAATTTTACTATCATCTAAGTATAGACCATATTTAATTTGAAGAGAATAGACGTCATATTAAGAAGAGTCCAAGTTTATATGAGGTTTCAAGTTCTCAGTTTGGTTCGAAATACTTGCATGCTTTGTTGATCGAGTTTGTTGCATAGGGTTTGTCGTATGTGAGTTGCGGACTATTATACTGGAGTGGGGTTTATTCTGCATGAACTACTCCAATATATATTGCCTAGTCTTGGAAAAATAAGTGTAGCGAGAGTTGGGACAAATTCTATTTTTATAAAAGATTTTTTTTTTATTTAAAAAAAGGTACAATATTGTTTGTCCTACCGATGTTTGGGCCATCTTAGTTAATAATTCATTAATTAGCTGGTTGTTAAACAGTTTAACTTCCGTTTCGTACATAACGTTATAAATTTTTGAGTTTAACTTAAGTTAAAACGTGGCTACATCCATAAGTATCTAATTGAAATATAGTTTGGGCTAGCTCATAAATTTTTAACCATCCAACAATAGGTTGTGAGTAGTGTTTTCCAAATTAGTTGGTGATTAATTACTCTAAGTACAACTTTAGAATCAACATATAGTCTTTATGAACCTAGCTAGGGCAGTTCAAAAAGTATAGTCAAGTCTTTGAGTATAAATGTATATTCTCGGCTTCCAATTCATGAGAATAAAAAAAAATCACGTTCAAAGTCCGTCCCCAGAAAAGGACCACAAATTCAAGTTAAATTTGTCCCAATACAAATTCAAAGCTATCTTTTATAGGATTAAAAATGGATAAAAGTAAAAAAAAAAAAAAAAAAAAAGGGGGGGGGTTCCAATTTTGAAAAAAAAAAAAAGTGGACGGGTTTCCATATTTGCAGTTAATTTTGCATATATATTAGGACTTAGGAGTAGAACTGTCATAGAACGGCTATTTAGATTAATTTGCAATTGTGGTAGGACATTTAGTTCTTATGTGAACAAGTCCTTCGACCATCCAATAGGTTCTTTTAAACTATCTGAAATGTATTAGCCCAACTAAATCATATTCACATTGTATAAGATTCATTTACCTGTAAAAACCTTTGTATTAAAAAATTATTTATCCATGTGACCTTAATGCACAAACTCAATACTTTTAATTAAATTTACCATATATATGATATATCAATAGTTTGACATAAAAAGAAGAATAGGTAGAACTTAAAAGGACGAATTTTATTATATTTCTCATTTTGTTTTGTATTGTAAAAAATGTGAATATGTTCAAAAGAATTTCACGTGCAATATTCTGTGCATGTGTGTGGCCTATATCCCGTCGAACGCCTTTAAAAGGTGAAATAATTCACCCCAAAAGAACCAAAATCCGTATTGTAACATTTCCGTCGGGTATCCTTTTTCCCTTTTAATCTGTTTCAAAATAAAACTTCTCACGCTATACTCTTAGACTTCATCGATCGATAATGGCTCTAGAAGCTATAACGCAACAACAACAATATCTTTATGCGTTACTCGGAACTACAAATTGGAGCATTGGTTCTGGTTCTGGCTCTGGCTCTAGCTCTGATTATCACAACAATGAAGCGTTTGATGAATTTCTTCCGAATAATCAAAATGTAACAGCACCTCAAGAGTACGAGAACTACTCAAATTGGAATTTGCCAGCTCCATTATTAGTAGATTCCCAAAATGAATTTAATCAATGGGGTCAAAATTCTTCCTCTGTTTTAGACCATAATTTTACAATTGTGGATCAACAGGAACAGCAGGCACAATTGGACTCTCCAATTGAAATGTCTAGTAGTACAACTAGACCACGAAGAAGAAGAACAAGAACAAAGAAGAATGACGAAGAGATTGAGAATCAAAGAATTACACACATTGCCGTTGAACGAAATCGTCGAAAACAGATGAATGAGTACCTCTCTGTTCTCCGTACTCTCATGCCTGAATCTTATGTCCAAAGGGTCAGATTCCTTCTCTCAAATTTTATTTTATACTGGTTAAATTGTGTGATCGACTCGTATAAGTTTGAGATTTGAAATTTCTTTATTTGTGAAATTTTAACTCATAACCTGTATGATATCATAAAGAAGCTCAATTAAATCCCCTTCGCCAAAATATATAAATCCTTGAAACTATTATGTCCATTTAATCAAAAAGTTTAAGCTGTTAGACAGATAGAATACACTTTTATTCTAAACTATTGATTTTTCTTGTTACATTTTAAGGGTGATCAAGCATCAATTGTTAGTGGTGCAATTAACTATGTGAAAGAGCTAGAGCAACAGCTTCAATTCCTTAGTGGTCAGAAGCATTTGACTAGTCAAAATCAAGAAGCAAATGGTGAAACTTCTCCATTTTCTGAGTTCTTTAGCATTCCACAGTACTCCACAACCATGTCTGCTGCTACAACTACTAGTGAAAATGTATGTTGTGAGAATGAATATTACAGGAACCAGCAGTTACCAGCAACAGCTGATATAGAGGTTACAATGGTGGAAAATCATGCAAATCTGAAAATAAGGTCAAAAAAGAGGCCAAGATTGCTTCCTACAATTATTTCAGGGCTTGAAAGTCATAGGCTAAGTGTTCTTCATCTCAATGTCTCAAAAGTTGACCAGTTTGTCCTCTGTTCTCTCAGTTTGAAGGTGAGGCTACATCTCAATTTATGTGTCATTGTTAGAATTTCGAGAGTTATAATCAAATTTTTAAAGCTTCTATGTCTGAATACACGGTCAAAGTTTGAATCTTGAAATTTCAACTATGCCACATAAATTGAGACAAAGAAAAAAAGAGTTCAAATTTTATATATTAATATCGTAAATAATATTTTACACCGTTTGATCATTCAAGTAAGCCTGAAATCATGAAATTAAGATGTGTGATCTACGGTGATAGGTATAGATGATCTGATGGTGTAAAATTTTTTTGATTTACATTGACGGTGTATATAACATAAAGCTAAAATCTTTTGAATTTAATTTAATGTACTTGATTTTGTTTATAAATCTGCAGGTAGAGGAAGATTGCAAGATGAATTCAGTGGAAGACATAGCAGCTGTTGTGAATCAGATTTTAAGTAGGATCCATGAAGAGGCTAATTAATTAGCTTGATGTGAGACTATATTTAAGCATCTTAATTAATTTTCCTAGCTATATTGCTTATATTTATGTAGAATTAGGAATATTTGACAATAATAAATCAGAGTTTAATTTTGAGGTCGCAACTTCTAATTGTATTGCCTAGCGTGTTAAAATATTCACTTAACATGTTATTGAAGACATTTTTATTTACTTAATTTATCTATCTGTCTTCATATACATGTATTCATGGCTTCTAGCACATTGAATAAACATGTCAAAGGATTCATTTAAATAAAATAATACCACTCACTACTTCATTAATTAGTTACATTTCTTTAGAGGGAAGAGATCAAAATTTTGTTTAACAATTCAGTTTGCTGACTGTTTGAAACACTTGCTGTTGACTACTACCTCCATGCAGGAGCTGTAATCAATCAATAATTAATTACTCTATAATCAATTAATTATCTTATACTAATCATGATTAATTGTTTGATGATATTAGCCTATAACTCTACTAGAGCCATGTTTATTTTGCACTTTAAAGGGGTTGTTAATTAGATTTATAGAAAGTTACTAACACCTGAATAAATTAAAGCCTTTCTTTTTTGAATATGTGATGGTGCTACTATACTAATACTTGCTATTATTGACAAAAACCATTGCATAAGAAGGGACACATGTCATCCAAAATTGAACCAACCATATTGCACAAAAGTATGGATATAGCTCATTCTCTGTGTTGTTATTGAGAAATCAACGATAGAATTAGAATTTTTTTAATAAGAAAAGACAAATATAAGAAGAAAAAAATATATAATGTAATTCTTTTGTCAGATTGACGGTCCTTTAAGAGCAAGGATAGCTCTCCTATTGCATGAAAAAACTTGACATCTACAAGAGAGAGAAGAACTTTCCCAATAATATACACCGTGAAATTCTATAAGGAGAATCTAGAAAGGATAACATGTACGTATATCTTATCTCTATTTTTAATTTGTAGGGTTTATATGTTATTTTCCATAGACCCCTCAACTCAAAAGAAATGTTAATCAAAGTAGGGTGTCAAGAAAATAAGGCAACCAAATAGCAAGATACGTACAAATGCACTAGTAGATCATAGTAATAGTGTAATACACATAAAAGAATAACTAACAACACCTACTATCTGCAAATGTTCTATCGTAATCCTCAACCTTCCTAAAGAAAATAACTTACTTGTATGACAATATTTACTCCTAATTAATCAATAAACAAATGTCATATGGCTTCTTCAAAGTGGACGGTTAATTATATCCTAGTTTCCGTCTAGAAAGAGCTAGTTTTTTTTTTTTAATTTCCTTGATCAATGCAAGAATGTCATATCTTATTTTTTTGCAAGGGAAGAGAATAAAGTGGATACACATTCTTATATGGATCCACCTGACCCACATAGGGAAAAAAACAGAAAATAATGAAAACCTTATTGCCATTGCTGTAGCTAAAAAAATGAGAAATGATTATGCCTTTTTTGTTTAGAAAGAATAAAGGATTCAAAGGAAAAATCAATTGCAGGTACTGAAAACAATCATGCAATTGGCTTTCTCCATGAACATGTACGTACGACGTTATTGTGTTGGCTCGAAAACCCAAAAGTAAAAAGGTGAAATGTTTTTTCGTTTAGTGGGAATTATATATATTCCTTTGCCTTTATGTGAACAAAGTAAAGGAACATTAAAAAGGTGGTGAATTTTGTGATACAAATATGTTCAACACACAATTAACACTAACAAAACATTCGTTTACAATTTTGTGATATAATCATTTGTTTGGTCAATCTTATAAAATCTACTCCTTTCGTCTCATTTTATATGTCATCCCTTTCTATAAATAGTTGGTCCATAATACTTGTCATTTCACAAAATCAATGCATAAATTAGCATATTGTTCCTTTTTTACCCTTGTGAGTTATTAGCATTGAAAACATACATTTGACTAACTTAGAAAAATTAAGCAGTAAATGATTCATTTTCATTGGTTAAATTAATTAATCAAAACAAATTAATTCATATTCATTGATTGAAACCTTGAGTTCCAAAAATAATAATAAGGGTAAAAGGGTAAAGTTACATAATTTTTTAATGCAAGTGCAAAGTAAAAATATGACATATAAAATGGGACGGAGGAAGTAATATATTACATGAGGTCTAAACATTTTGCTCATCAATTCTAGTTAGGTATATACCAAGAAGCCTCGACTCTAGCTTGTACCAACAACATATTCTCAACAGCTACACGTACACCCTTCCTTCTAAAAGGTGTGTGAATTGTATATTCTACTAATCATTAATCACTCGGTGCCAGGCAAAAAACTAGCATACAACTGGTAACAACAATATAATGTGATACAAATTAAAGCATGCAATTTCAAATCTTAATTTAATCTCGATTATCGAAATAGATGATATTGTAGCCACCTTTTTGACCATATAACAATATTTCATTTACTTTTAAAAAGTAATACCTCCTTCCCATATTAGTAATTCTATTTCTCTTTCACACCTTAAAGAAACATACATTATTAGGAGAGTATTTGATGAAAAAAGAAAACAATGTCCCTTAATTTGAACTATCAATATGTGTGACCAAGTCCAACACAAATTAAAATCGTGAAGTTCCTGGAAAATGTTTTTACCCGAGGAATTTTTATAGCTCAATTGGTTGGTTATTTGAACTTTCATCTGAGCGATAAGAGTTCGGTTCCTCATCCTATAATTTCCTTCATGTTACCTCTTTTCCTACTCCCAATTTAAGAAAAAGAAAAAAAAGATGTTCTTACTCTCGAAATAATTATGAAACAAGAGTAACATGATCAAATACATAATTATTTGATAGAATGAAAATACCCAAGACAAATATTTTTAGGTTAAATCAAGAATCGTTGTTTATCCATGTGGTTACGTAATTAGAATACTTTTTCACACGACATTAATTATATTTAACAAAACAATCATAATCACATAGTTCCACATATATATAGCCGTAAAACAAAGAATTAGCATGGTCTAAATAATGTTTTTATTAAAGTGCTTTTGGTGGACAACCAAATAAATAATTGAGACAAAAATGTCACTGTAATTGAAAATAATGGAAAATGGCCCAAAGAGGATGCTTTCTCCATGTAGAGCTTGACGCAGGGACCTATCTGTTTGTCTTAGATTAATTTATTTATGCATATTAACAACCATAAAGTAATATTATTTTTCGTGTTTCCCAAGGGATATTTTGCATGAAATATGGATTTTTGGGGCGGAGGTAGAGTATTACTTATATAGATTCGGATGAACACATTAACTTTTACTTAAATCTTATATTTATATTAGAAAGTCTATTAAATATGTATAGTAATACTGTAGTTAAGATTGTGTCCTAGTGGTCAATGAAGTGGTTGATCAGAATTCATAATCATGAGATCTCATCAGGTTCAATTCTCAACAGAGACCAAAAAAAAATCACTTTAAATTATTATCATAAAATTTTAAAAATATAAAATTAAAATTCTAGATTCGCCTCTATCCGTTACGAGAAAGAGCTTAAAAGATCAAATAAGATGAAGGATTTTCCTTTTTTTCATACTACGACATTGACTAAATGTGTTAAAATTCAAAGGTCTTTTTGAGTACTTGTGTTTGAACCTTTCTAGTGAAACTCTCTGTAGAGCTCACATGCAAAGTTTATGGAGAGCTACAAGAAAGGCTGTGTAGGTACTTATTCATACGTAAAGAAAGCCTATAGTTTTATAAATAGAAGATTCCAATTTATTTTTCTGTTTTTATCTACTTGTTCTCTTGTGAGATCAAGAATGTATAAGAAAGATTCCTATTTTTTTTAATTTTTTTTTATCAATTGCTGTCTGTATCTAGATTACAGAGTCATGTACTTGAGTAGCATAATATAACCAAATCAAATATATCTAGATTTGGATTAACTGATTATACATATAGTTGAATGATACAACTTTTGTCCAGCTAGTTGAAGTTTCTTAAACAAATTGTAAGTAGTAATAAAAAAATTAAGACACCTTGTGGTGATGGGATTTTTTTTAATTATGGGATCCTATTTCTGCCATTTATACTTCCAATAAACAAATAACAATAAGAAGGAATGAAATAATAGGTGTACAAAGCATTTTGTATTTATACACCCAAGACTCAAGAGGTGTGGTAGACAATCTAACTTAATGGTTTCACTACTACTAAGGTTTTTCTCGTAGCGGGATCAATGAAAAAATTGTGTTATAAATTAAAACATGATGTTTTCATTCATTTTCCACTGCATCAGCTCACTTGGCAAACACATGATGAAAAACAGATTCTCACCAGATGTTGAAAGCTTCCTAATATTTCTGTGAGAACATGACTACTATTTCATGTTTTCTTGTTGATTCAATTAAAATATCTGTAGGATTAGCCACTGAACATTCTTCAATGAAAGAATTTCAATAGGAATATAGTGATTTTCTAATAATGTTTACACGATTCAAATTTGTGATCTAAAAATAATAGAAAAATAATTTTACCATTGTCTCAAGACTCTCCTTTTGATGATTAAAAAGAAAAAGGCAACAAAATGCATGATTTTTTTTCCTATTTCCATAAGATAAGATTCAACAATCAATATTAGGATATATGGGAAATATTTCACCTGTTTACATATTATAATTTTCTAAAATAAGGTACTTAATAATTACCTTTGATCAGCATGTGACTCCGTGACTGATTATTACTGTCAATGAATTAAAAAGAGATCAGTCCATTTGCAATAATATCTTAAGAGAAATAAAAAATAAATTTTCTAAAGTATAGTCCAAATCCAGACAAATTGGAAATCTGGAGATGCAGCATATATATAACAACTTCTGCATACAACAAAATAATGATTAATTGTGGTCGCTCTGCCCTCCAAAAATAAAAAGACCAAAATAGGCTAATTAAAAAAATTAATAAGGGATAATGAGAAGACAAGAAAAAGGTGAGATAATGACTTGTTTCAATCAGACAAAGTTTATACATCATAGTTCAACAGGCTACAAGCAGATATATGGTGTCAATTAAAATTTATCTTAATTGGACCCATAAATATTAAGCTAAGTGAATATTTTT